AAGCCACTCAATATGCCATACGAAGACGAGGTTTACCTTTTTCAGTAATGGGAAAGGAGAAGCAGTGGCTAGGCTATCATCTGCCTAACACCTTCACTACTTGGGAGACCCTATCTCAAGCATTCATTGAAGAGTTCTTTCCACCATGGAAGACAGAGGAGCTTAAATATGACATCACTCAATTCCCACAGAAGGATGAAGAGATGTTCTATGACATTCAGGGGAGATTCTAAAGGAATCTAAAAGCATGCCCCCATCACGGATTCACATAGGAGCAAGTTGAAAAGTACATCGCCGAAGAACTAGATCGAGATACCGCGATAGTAAAGAATCAATCAGCCGATGGTGACTTCACCAAGATGATTGGAGTCTATTGCTAGGAGCATTTTGCCACCTTTGCAATGAAGTCAAAAAAAAATTCCAAGAGATGGATGATAAGGCCATTGAAGTGGTGAGGAAATGAATATCATCTTGCATTAGAAAATGATGGAGCTTTCTCAACTGGTAAAGCATGTTGGAGTGGACCCAATGCATGGAAAAGTAGAATCCTTGTTTGTGTGTTGTGAAATTGGAGAAGAAGGCTATGGCGGTAAAAAATGTTAGAACCTTGGAAGCTAAGGACATGCTTATGTCAATTACATAAACCAAGGTTATCAACAAAGACAACATCAATGAGAGTAATGCCCTATATCAGATCTACAACAAACCCCATATATCATATTGTCAATGCCCGACCCTAGGAGGAATGAAGCTAGAGGTAATCTAAAGATCACTTCAAAAAATGCCCCTTGTATTCATGATCAAATATGGAGCAAGAAGCCCAATCCACCTAGATTTGGGAACCAACCGCAATATAAGGCATAGGAGAAGGTTTTTTCAATCAACAACCCACTCGATTCGAGAAGCTAGAAGCAACAGTCTACGGTTTGCAAGCCATCTTTTAAGAATGTTCCCAGCAAAACAAAGAATAATCCAAAGACTGAGGAGTTCAATATTATGTCGATGATAGAAGGAGCATTCTAGAGTTGCTTATGCAAGAAAGGCGAAGATAAGAAGCCAATTTCGGTGTTATTTACCCTTCATATCTAGGTTTGTTTCGTTCTAATTCAGGTGCATAATCAGAAGAATATCATCGATTGCAACCCTATTCAGTTCCTATTTGATTATGTCATGATTTTAGGGTGCTTTAGAATATATATATATGTGTGAATAATGTACGAAATAGGGAACAAGTACAGTTAAATGGCAGGAAGCTGAAGATCACAGACTGGACGTGGAAGATCTCGATTGAGACATCAGACTGCGAAGAAGGAGAGAAGATCACGGCCTAAGAACCATAGTTTGAAACCACAAATTTGGAGCCATTGGGCGCGAACTTCTTGAGGAAGCCACCCAAGAAGGAACAGAAACTTTCGAGCCGGATCACGGTCACCAGGGGAGTGATTGACCGCATGATTGTGGGCAAAATCAGCCATGGGTAGCTTCAAATCTCACGCCTTGGGGTGATCACCAACAAGTTTGCACAAAAGATTGCCCAAGGAACGATTGAACACCTCTGTTTGGACATCCCTTTGATGATGATAAGCACTTCTAAAATTGAGTTGGGTATTAAACAAGGGCCACAAGCAACGCCAAAAATGACTGACAAAGCGTGTGTCATGATAAGACACAATAGAGGCAGGGAGACCATGAAGATGATAGACATCGCAGAATTAGAGGAGCGCGACTGGGACAGCATCAGACATTTTCTTGTAATGAATAAAGTGCATCATCTTGGAAAATCGATCAACCAAAACATAGATAGAATCAGCGCCACTCTTTGTGCGGGGTAAGCCAAGAACAAAGTCCATACTCATGTCCGACCATGGTTGAATGGGAATAGGCAGAGGAAGGTACAAACTGGCATTAGTGGACGCGCCCTTCGCCACCTAACAAATACGACAGCGGGCAACAAAGCGATAAACCTCCTTATGCAGAGATGGCCAAAAGTAGGTGGCTGCAAAGAGCTGGAAGGTTCGATCACGACCCTCGTGATCTTCGTTATGGGCTTCTTGGATCATCTTCGGGCGTAAACTGCAAGTAGGAATACAGAGTTGCACTCCACGGAAAAGAAAGTCGTCTGTTAGCACAAAGTCAGACATTTCACATAGTTGAATGCAAGTAAGGACCTGAGAGAAGAAAGGGTCGGGAACATAGAGGTCCACGAAGGAGTCGAAGCCATGGACATGAATACGCAGCTCTGTCAGCAACCCGTGGTGGCGACTCAAAGTATTAGCCATGCGATTGGATACACCGGCCTTGTGTTTAATCACAAAAGTAAACTGCTGAAGATAAGAAGTCCATGAGGCATGGAGATGGGAGATTTTGTCTTGAATGCCAAGGTTCTTAAGAGCATCATGGTCGGTATATAAGACAAATTCCCGCTGGAACAGATAGTGCCGCTAGTGCTTGGTGGTTTGAACCACCGCATAGAACTCCACGTCGTAGGTGCTGAAGTGAAGCTCAGCACTAGAGAGTTTCGCACTAAAATATGGAACAGGTCACCCATATTGTCTAAGTTCCACACCAATGCATGTCTTCGAGGCGTCATAGTGATGCTCAAAGGGCCGACCAAAATCAGGAAGTACCAGAATCGGGGTTGTGGTAAGGAGGCATTTAATGTCGAGGAAGGCCAGTTCGGCGTCATGCATCTAGGGGAACTTAGGACCCTTCATGCAGTCTGTGAGAGGAGCCATAATACCACTGTAGTGAGGAATAAAACACCGATAGAAGGAGGCTAAACCATGAAAGCTACAGACTCCGTAATTTATGTAGGTCGGGGCCACTGGGCGATGGCTCGAACTTTGCTTGGATCAACCTCCAGGCCTTCGCGAGAGACCACGTAACCGAGAAACTTAATGGAATCCGAGAGGAAAGCACACTTGGCGGTGGACCATCAATACTTCACGTAGGTGGGCGAGATGCGTCTCCTCATTGACACTGTAGATCAAGATGTCATCGAAGTAAAAGACAACAAACTTCCCAATAAAAGGACGCAGAGCTTGATTCATCACACGCATAAAGGTACTGGGGTCATTGGAGAGACCAAACGACATAACTAGCCACTCGTATAAGCCTTCACGAGTCTTGAATGTCGTTTTCCACACATCGCCTGCGCGGATACGAATTTGATGATACCCACTCTTGAGATCCAACTTGCTAAATACAGAAGAGCCACCCAATTGGTCAAGCAAGTCATCCAAGCGCGGAATAGGGAAGCGATAGCGTACTGTAATCTTGTTGACGGCCCAACTAACAACGCATATCCGCCATGAACCATCCTTCTTTGGAGGTAAGACATCCAGAACAACACATGGACTAAGACTCTTGCGGACGTGGCCTTTAGCAAGCAATTCCTCAACATGTCGTTGTAGCTCTTCGTGATCCTTCGGGCTCATGCAATAGTGAGGACGGTTTGGAAGGGTAGCACCTGGCACGAGGTCGATATGATGTTGGATGTCACGCAAAGGAGGTAGCTCGCACGGGAGGGAGTCCGGGAAAACGTCCACAAATTCTTGCACGAGTGCAAGCACGGGAGCAGGCACTATGGGAGCCACATGATTGGTAATTAGAGAAAAAAAAGAAGACAAAGACCATTCCTATTTCTTTCATGGTAGCCTGGAAAGGATCCCGAGACAACAGGGTTGTAGGGGACGCCATCGGTGTCGTGAGGGCAACACCCCTTTGGGCTTAGTAGGCAGTAAGACAATCTTTGTACCACGGAATAAGAAAGAATAGGTGTTAGCTGGACCATCATGGATAATAGATCGAGTTGTCATATTATCATGGCTGACCAAGCAGAAGGTGACACGCATCCATAGGAACCACGTCATAGTAGACAGAATCCCGATAGGTAGAGCTAACGAAGAAGTTAACAAGCACACGATTGGATATAGTCACATATGTACCTTGACTAATCCATGAAAGGCGATACGGCTTAGGATGAGGCTTAGTGTTAAGATTGAGTTTGCCCACTACGACTTCAGATATCACAATCTCGCAGCTGCCCGCATCAATGATGAAAGTGCATACCCTTCCGCCAATGGTACTGGTTGAATAAAACAGCTTGTTGCGCAACTAGTCGTTGTCCGGAACACAAGGGTGAGGCAGGACCGTCGTAGCGCTAGCAAAGGACCAATATCGCCTACAACATACTCTTCGGGGTCATCATAATCATCGTAGGATGGTGGTAAATCAGTGATAGGAGCATATGCGGATTCATTGGCTTTGGTAAAAAGTACCCGAGTGGTAGACTTCGGATTTTGGCAGTCTGTTTGGCGACGCCCAGTTTTGCCTCAATTAAAGCACCGCGGACTACCCTAACGTCCTGGTGGAGTCACCATAGAGCCACGCATAGGTGGGAGAGCAGGATATTCCCACGCTGGTAGGGGTAAGAGGCTCGGGACGTTGGGCGAGTTAGCTTGTTGTCTAAAATTGCATGGGCCACGCGTAGCAAGTTGTTTCTCAGCCTGGGACGCGAGTTGTTGAGATTTTGCGACATTCACTAGATCAAACATGTTCAAGACATCCTATAGTTGGAGACATAGGCCACCAATATATTGAGACACCAGCTGAAGAGGAGATTCGTTGATATCAACACGAGCCATGAAGGGATATAATTCAGTGGAATACTCATCAACAGAGCGGGGGCCTTGACGACGGTTCTGGAATCGCTGATATAATTCACGATCGAAATTATAAGGTAAGAATGCAGCCCGTGCGTGCTTCCTGAACTTTATCTAGCTCACAATCTATGCCTTATCCTGTCGCATACGAGTGAATTTAAATTGCTGCCACCACGCTTGCGCACGCCCCTGCAGTCGGATTTTCACAAGGGCAACGCGGCTGTCCTCCGGAACCTCCTTGAACTCCAGAATCTCTTCAACTTGAGAGAGCCAATCAATGAACTCCTCTGATTTGAGGTTGCCATCGAACTATGAAATACCCACCCTAAACCCTTGCTACCATCTGTGGTTAGAGCGCTCAGGTGAGCGATTCTGGGGGTCAGCGAACGGATTTTCATCTACAATCGTCACGTCGTCAAACTGACGCTGCATATGCAAGACTTTATCCATTCGTTGTGTTAACAACTCCACCTGCCACCTCAATTCGTCGTTATCACTTTGAACTTCAGTGGTTTCACGTTGCATTTCAGCAAAGTCGATATCGTCAAAATCACAGGGAATTGCTCGCGCCTGTTTACGGTGCGGCATGCCTCAAGATCAGCCGTGCTCTGATGCCAAACTGATGCAGCGTACATGGCAAGGAAGAGGGTTTTATCAAAACTCGTTGATTCTAGAGAATGGTCGAGAGTCAACCTTTGCGAGGAAAAACCACTTTTGTTCTTTTATTCAATCAAAATACTGCTGAAACACCAAAGGGCTACATTCCACTATATATAGACTACTCACTAACTGACTCTTGAAGGAAAACAACTCTTGAAAGGAAGACAAATCTGATTGTAACTAGGAAAAGACAAAGAAATCCAAATGGGATCCGAAATGGGATCCGCATCATATTCCTCAATCAAGTATTGGAGCGACTCGCCGGTCATGATTACTACTTCTTCTTGGATGGAATGTCAGGATACTTCCTGATTCCTATTTCCCCTGAAGAGTAATAGAATAGGACTTTCACCTGTCCTTTTGGAACATTCGCTTATAGGAGGATCCCCTTCGGTCTCAGCAACGCTCCTGCAACATTTCAACGCTGCATTATCGCTCTTTTTGACAGGTTAGTTGGACATATAATGGAGGTAATTTTCATGGATGATTTTTCTGTGTTTGGAGACTCTTTTGCTCATTGTCTTCGGAATCTGGAAAAAGTTTTGGAGCGTTGTGAGGAGACTCATCTCTCGGTTAATTGGGAGAAGTGTCACTTTATGGTTGATAGACCACTAATTGCACATGTTTATACCACCATTCTAGAGCTGTTTGATAGTAGATTCTCGTGTTTTAAGCCGATTTCACGCTAGGTTGTGCGTTAATGTCATATTTTAGGACTTGGCGTGGACATGGAGGCGTGGAAAAGAGTTTTGGGTCAAAAAGGAGGAAGTTGGAGTGAAAGGCGATGGAAGAAGAAAATACCCGACCAGGTAAAATGCAAGAGGAGGCCGGGGAAAGCACATTTTGGAGGCCAGGAAACAGAAGGGGTCCCGGCCGGATCGCTTAAATACCGGATCGAGTATTCTGGACTTTGATTGGGTATTCTCCCATGGCCGCTGCGCAGCGTTTCAAAATACCCGGCCGGTCACCTGAAATACCCGACCGGGTATTATGGCCAGGTATCGCGTTCTGCTGCCTTTTGAGGGAAAGAAGTCCAATTTCACAAGGAGTCCGATTTTGGGAGCTAGAGAGCAGAAAATCTAGAGAGAGAAAGTGACAAACAGAACTTCCAAGTTCCCTAAATGGATCTTCAACGCCATTGGAGCTCGGTGGGAAGCTTGGAGGAGTGTCGATTGATTACCAGAAGCATATCCTCATCCTTCACAGTATGAATTCCGCATCTGAAGCAGATTTTCTGTCACTCTCTATGGAGTAAACTCCCTTTCTCACCTAGGTGTGAAGAACCCTAGATTTGTATGTTAGGTCTGATTGTATGAACTCAAGTACGAATTCTTTGATACTTATTATATTCAATTGAGCCATGATTTTCTGAATTGCATGAATTCTAATCAAATTCATGTTATTCATGCTTTGACCTAGAATGAGAATATATGCCTAGGTTGATAGAGCACCCTTGATTGAAGGTAGGGAATTGGCGACTTTAGTCGAGGAGTCTATTCACTATTTTGTACTGGATTTATTCCAATAGAGGAGGTTTGGTACGTTATAGCCTCAGTCTGTGTACTCCGGTGGAGGTTAGTCGCTTCTAGAGACTCAGATTGAGAGGGTCTGGAGACCTTTAGTCGAGACTGCAAACTACCTAAGAATCTTCCCCAGTAGAATTATCATTGAATCTGAACTTGGCAAATTACAACTTGGCTTAACTGCAGTCTAGGGGGAACCATATCTGGGTGACCTCTCTCGAACTTGGAAAACAACATTTACTGCTTTTGCTTGTTAGTTTAGTTGGAACGTCACTACAGGTTAATCACTAAATAATAAGAATCTCACGGAGTAGTCATCACACCTAGGACCCTGGTTGACATTTAGAACTAAAGTCGCTATACTATGCATTAGTAGGTGGTTACACATGGCCACTTTCTAGTGTGACGGTACAGGCGAGTCAAGTTTTTGGCGCCATTGCCGAGGACGGCTAGGTTGTTGAAGAAATGTGGTTTCTGTTACTTTGGCATTTCTTTTCTGCATTGATTGTTTTGCTTCGTCCCATTTGTGCCTTCACGGGTTTGCTTTCTTGGATTGTGTGCAGGTAGTGTATTACCCGTAGCCAGTCGGGAGACCTACTATCGTTAGACTCGGAGCTAGAACGCACTTGTTGCCAGCTTAGGAGACAACAGCGAGCCAGACTGGCTACAGAGGAAGTGCACGTCGACGGTCATTTGGGCAGCGAATCTGAAGAGGAATACGAGATGGGCGATCAGCACAACAGGGGGAACCTGAACCTGGGGCAGAACCAACCCTTAGGGATGCCCATCCAGGTCCCCCCAGTGAATCAGGTCCTGGCAAATAACCCAATCCACCAGCCAGATGGGGCTTAGCATCCACCACCCCCGATGGGTCCTACTATGGAGTACTACTACACTCCACGGGTCGCCGACATCCACCCCGTCATCCTATATCCGCCCATCCCAACAAATAACTTTGAGATCAAGCCATGTTGGATTCAACTGATCACATCCTCCATCCATTTTCATGGCCTCAAGGATGAAGAGGCGAGGGTGCACCTTTCCCGATTCTTGCATCTTACTAATGGGTTCAAGCTTAATGGTGTACCAGATGACGCGATCCATCTTCACCTCTTCCCCCACTCTCTGGCGGGGCATGCAAAGAGGTGGTTAGAGACCCGACCCCCACTGTCCATCACGTCATGGGACGATCTGGCTGACAAGTTTGTGCACAAGTACTACCCGGCCTCGAAGACCACGGAGAGTCAGCGGGAGATCACTCATTTTTGCTAGAAGCCAGATGAGTCACTACGTGATTCCTGGGAGCGGTACTCGGGATTCTTCTGGCAGTGACCTATCACGGTTTTAGTGATGCATTCACAATAGGGAACTTCTACAGTGCTCTAACTCTAGAGAGTTAGAGGGTGATCGAGTCTCTATGCCTATGAGGGACATTCTCACCAAGACTCCATCGGAGCTGAATTAGATGATCAGTACTCTGGCTGCTAGAGATCATTCTTGGGGGAAGAGCACTAAAGGGAGGAGCTCCTAGGATCGAGGTGTGCATTCTATGGAAGCTAGATCCTGCTAGAGCGGAAGGTGGCTGAGCTGGTCCAGACATTAAAGCATCCCAACAGTCTCATTCTGGGCAGAGGATTGACTGGCCACTCAGTTGCACAGTGCCAGTGGTGTGAGAGCTCGAACCAATTGGTGGAAGATTGTCAGGCTATGCGGGAGTCTACTACACCCCAGGAGCAGTTGGACTTCATCGCCAATGTGCGACAACTTGATCCTTACAGTGGAACATATAATGAGGGGTGGCGCCAGAATCACAACTTCTCCTGGAATAACAACACCAGAACCACCACCAAGCCTCCGGGCTTCCTAGATAGAGCTGGTGGTTTTCAGCAAAGGCAACCCTTCCATGCCAGATAGGGCTCATTTTCACAGCAGTAGCCCTACCAGGCCAGACAAGGGAAACCATTTCAGCAGCAGAGACAGTTTGCCCAACCGGCACCAACCCCAGCACAGCATGATCAAATGTTAGAGCTGAGGAGCATGGTGCAGACTTTCGTGATTACCAGCACGACGAATTTTGCCAGGCTGGACCAGTGCATCACTTCACTGGAGGCAGGCTAGAGGAACTAGGGTGCCATACTTCTAGACCTCCAGAACCAGATTGGGGGCATAGCTCGCCAGAACACCACTAGAGCACCGGGAACTCTGCCTGCCATGACTATTCCAAATCCTTGCGAGCCTCATCAGAAGCTCGATGCCATCACTACTCGAAGTGGCAAGACAACATCACTTATCCCTACTCCGGCCAGGCAGGAGGAGCCAACACCTGCTTCAGCACTTCTAGCTGACAAAGAAGAGGTGGGGATTGAGAAGGAAGCACCTGCTCCTAGGCCACAGCTAGTGGTTAAAAAGCATGTTCCCCAGCTTCCCTTCCCCACTCGACTGCACAAGGATAAGCTGGAGACTGAGTTTGCCAAATTCATGGCAAAGTTGAAGCAGGTCAACATCAGCCTGCCTTTCATGGAGGCACAGTCGAAGATGCCCAAGTGCGCCAAGTTCATGAAGGATCTCCTCGCCAACAAAAAGAAACTTGGGGATCTATCGACAGTGATGCTGAGCGAGGAGTGTTCTGCCATCCTGCAGAACAAGCTGCCCGAGAAGCGCAAAGACACAGGGAGTTTTACTATCCCTCTTGTCATTGGCACCATACATGTAGGAAAGTCCCTGGCGGATCTAGGCGCTAGTATTAATGTCATGCCCTATAAATTGTTTAAGAAGCTAGGCCTAGGTGAACCTAGAACCACTAGAATGAGCATTCAGCTCGCTGATCACTCTATTGTGCATCCTAGGGGTATCATAGAGGACTTGCTTGTTAATGTGGGTGCATTCACATATCCTATTGAATTTGTTATTCTGGATATAAATGAGGATGTGGATGTGCCTTTGATTTTGGGTAGACCGTTTCTCACCACCGCCATGGCACTTATTGATATGCATAGTGGCAAGTTAATCTTGCATGATGGGGATGAACAGGCTACATTTTCCGTGTCCGATAATGTGAAGCATTCCCATTTGCATGATGACTTGGATTACTGTGATATGCTGGCTGATTTTGAGACCGCACTCGCCATCACGAGTGCGGGTACTGACGATGCCCTTGAGCGTTGTATTTTTCTAGGTGAGTAGGCATCGCATGAGCTACAGTTGGAGGAGCAGCTAGCCACTCTGAAGAGTGGCGAGTTTCTGGAGGGTGCCAAGCACTTCAAACCGATCTCATCCTCTCCTCGCATCACCACCTCTCTGGAGGAGCCACCAAAACTGGAGCTAAAACCCCTCCCTCCTCACTTGGAGTATGCATTTCTACGGGAGGGGAACAAGCTTCCAGTCATTATTAGCTCGACCCTCACA